AAAGCATCATCACAATTCATTTTTTTGTAATTCTCTTGAAAAGTTTCTTCAGTTTTTATCTTTTAGATCTAGCTTACGGTTATTATAGATCTTAGCTATCTTAGCTAAGATACATAGTCTTCTTGTAAGTTTTTCATCTGTAAGTTTTCCTTCTATCAATACATGGTGGTTTGGTTATAGATTTGAACATTTACACCATTTACCTTTGTTCTCCATTTTCTTAGTTCTATAGGCAGGGGCGGAGGCCTATAGGGGCCTTTGGGGGCTAGGGTCCCTACGATTTTTTATCTTCTAGATAGGTAAAACTTAGTCAACTATGTTAAAAGATTTATTTTTTTCACTTCTCTTTAAATACGGTCATCCCAGTTAAAAGGCATGTGTTCCGCACGCTACTGTATATGGGTCCTATCTCATCACAACTTTCAAATATATGATCATAATTGTTGCACTACATCCATTGTTGGAGGACCACATACAATAATCAATGGCAAAGAAGTGGTTAAATTTTGTTCTGCATCAAACAAAGGTTGTTGGAGGCTCGATTGGGGTTATTTTTCAGCAGCAAACGAAGTATTAACTAATTACATTGGAGAATAAAATCAAAAAAAGGTAAATGGTCATTCGCTATATGTTATTGCTTATTGTCTCTCTAAGTTTTTTATCTGAAACTAAGGTCCAATGCTATTGGTTATTCGCTATCTCTATCTGCTGGCTTTTTCTGTGATTCAACAATTCAATGGTTAACAACTTTAAGCCCATATGTTTGTCTAGCTACTTTTATTGTTTATGTTGTTGGCTATTTTTGCTTCTATAGTTGATACTATATCGTTGTTTAACAATGCTTCAATTGTTTTGTTCTTATGAATTATTGTCTAAGAAACTCTAATAATCTTTTCTACCATTCATATCTTATTGACTCTCACAATTGACTTTTTGTTAACATATTTGAAAAACAATTAGAAATAAACATAATTTTATACCACAATTAAAAAAATGCAGTATTACTTAATTTATACTACAAATTTTTCTTCCCGCATTTATCAAATGCCCTTGTTTTCTACATACGTTGAAAACCGTATAAATGTCAGGATCGGGGCCGAGTATACAATTGAAGATGATCACAACAAAGCAAAAGAATCATAACGATGTGAAAATTTATCACTGCATTTGAACCCAAACACCTGGACTTGGGATCTCCTTGTGAACCACAAATAGAAGATAATTCCCTGCCGGAGCAATGTTACCCGAAGGCGGTGTCGTCACAACAACTTGATATCTTGAGTTTCCCAGAATCTTGTTAGCCACCCCACCATCAAGTACCATCAATCTTTGATTCATAGAAAACGAATGTGTGTTGAATGAAGGTGCCACCATTGTCACAGAGACAGAGTTTGGATCCACAAGACCTGACACGGTAAATACAATAACCAACCTGTTTCCGTACCGAATTTTAGTATTTGTTACAGGCAAGATTATTCTCGGGCGTAAACCAGATGAGCTTGAATCCAAATAAGATGGAGAAAATGCCTCCAAACTCAATTCGGTAGGGTAAAGGACATTTGTGAATTCATATTTATCGTGTGCATTACTTCCACCGATAAGAACACGTCCATCTCGTAGTAAAACCGCTGTGGAATGGTAAACTCTAGGTATCGTACTGGGGTTTTGGACCTCGAATCGTGACCCAGCTTGGTTATCTGCTTGGTAAATTACAGGGCTGAGAACTGGGTTCCTTCCAAGTTCCCACCCAGCAACCCCAGCGGATACGCCATTGATGATCAAAATCTGGGCATTGGGGAGCAACAACATGTCACTCATGACTCGAGCCATAGGCATGGTCTCCATGACCCATTGAGGGTTAGGATCTGATATTTTGATGCGGCCGCAAGTATCCAAGGCTCCGTCAAATATCCCATTATTTGCATTAACAAAGGCTCCTTTTGGTGCACCCCCACAAACCAAGACTTCAACAGCATTTACGGTCCCGTTTTTTATCCGCAAAGGGAGTAGTACTGCGGAGCCCGTACTTGGGTAATTCCTTGGTTGACCATCAGGCATTGTTGGGTAAGTCTTGAGAACTTGGTTCTTAGAGTAGTCCAATAAAATAGCACGATTGTTGGCAAACACGAACAGATTTCCATCGGGATTGAGAAATACAAATGGGTATAAATTATTCTCAACGTTAGGCTCATTGGTTTGCACCAGAAACGGCAAACTAGGTGAGTTCTCAGTGGTCGACATCTTCGGGTAGAACTCGTAGTTAAATGCTTGGCGACCACCAATTATAATTTGTCTGCCATCAGGCAATATATGATTGGTGGCATACCATCTTTGTTGATTCAAGCCCTTGGGTATCTCTTGCCAATCACAAGAATCACATGATTTATAAATGCGGACAACACGATAACCATCATCCCAGCCACCAGTTTGGACTAATCTTCCATCGGGCATTAAAGTTCCCGAGGAACACCACACATTAGTGAGCACCATAAGTGGACGTATGGAATTCGATGCAATATCATACTCGACGGAGTGAGCAGAGCAGTCGGTTGAGTTGGGCCGGCATTTGCCATCTGGAAGAGAGATATTGGAGATTCCAAAATCTGTGCGGTCATACATGACAACACGGTCGTTGGGAAGTAGCTGCATGTGCATGGCGGAGATGCCAATGCTTGGGAGGAGGACGGACCACGATCCACCAGCAGCAGCAACAGGACATGGTGCGGCTTGAAAGAGGACGAGAAGAAAGGAGAAGAGGAGGTGACGAGAAAAGACGGAAGCGGAAGGGGCCATAAGTTTGTTTTCTTGTGCTCTTTTTGGGAACTTGTTTGGTTTTTGTGTGTGTTTTCAAGGTGGCGATGGTAGCTTTAAATAATAGTTGGGGGTCTTTGAATTTGAGAAAGCCATTAGTCAACGTCAATGATATACGAATTCCTCCCGATTTGTTAACACCCATGAAATGTCCTTTTCCATTTTTATAAAAC